CGCCCCCTGAATAAAGACCTTTGCTGCTGCTGCTGCTGCTGCTGCTGCTGCTGCTGCTGGTCTTGCTGCTGCGTTTTACCCCTGCTGCGCCATCTGTATCCAAAGAGGCTTCTTTGTTGCTGCTGCTGCTCTTGCTGCTGCTGCCCGTCGCTCTGTGTCTTGCCCCTGCTGCGCCACCGGCCCCTGAATAAAGACCATTGCTGCTGCTGCTGCTGCTGCTGCTGCTGGTCTTGCTGCTGTGTTCTATCCCTGCTGCGCCACCGGCCCCTGAATAAAGACCATTGCTGCTGCTGCTGCTGGTCTTGCTGCTGTGTTCTATCCCTGCTGCGCCATCTGCCTCTAAAAAGACTTCTTTGCTGCTGCTGCTGCTCTTGCTGCTGCTGCTCGCTCCCCTGTGTCTTGCCTCTGCTGCGCCACTTCCCCCGAAATAGGGACCGTTGCTGCTGCTGCTGCTGCTCCGTTTTGTTCCTGCTGCGCCACCTGCCGCTAAAGAAGAACCGGCGCTGCTGCTGCTGCTGCTGCTGCTGCTGCTGCTGCTGCTCTCCCTGCCCTGTGCTCTTCCCTTTCCTAGAGATCCACCGCTTCATTGCTGCTGTTCTGCTGCTGCCTTTGTCTGACTTGGAGCGCCGGGGCAGCACGCGTTTCATCTTGCTGCTGAACCGCGCAGCTACGCCGCTGCTGCTGCTGCTGCTGCTGCTGCTGCTGCTTTCGGCCTTTTTGCTTCTCCCAGAAAAGACACGGAGGCCCCGAAAGCGCCCTTTGCTGCTTCGGGGGGCCCCTTCAGTTTTTGCTCTTCTGAAGCTGAAGCCCTTGCCGGACCGCTTCCACCAGCGGCTTTTGCTGCTGCTGCTGCTGCTGCTGCTGCTGCTGCCTTTTGGCCCGCGGCGCCGCAGACGCAGCTTCGGCATGGAGGGCTTCCAAGACCGAAGGCTTTTCATTTTCTGCTTCTGGAGATTCAGGTGTATAGGCAGCTCAGGTGTATAGGCAGCTCAGGTGTATAGGCAGCTCAGGTGTATAGGCAGCTCAGGTGTACAGACAGCTCAAATGCGCACGCAGCGTGGGTCTAGAGAGACTGCGGCTCACTGGCTGCTGCAGTTGCTGCTGCTGCAGCTGCTGCTGTTGCTCTTGCTGCTGCTGCTGCTCTTTCTAATATGACGGGCTCTGCTTCTGCTGCTTCGAGACGGATCAAGTGCTGGCTGTTTCGCCTGCAGCCGGTGCGAGGTCGATAGCAGCAGCAGCAGCAGCAGCAGCAGCAGCAGCAGCAGCAGGGAGAGGCCTCCTGGTCCGATTTGCTGCGTCTACTAGAAGACAAAGAAAGGACAAAAGTGCAGCGCCAAAGGCGGCGTGCTGCAGCTTCGTGTCTTTTGCTGCTGCAGTGTCGAGACACCCGAGTCACCCAGGCGCGATTGTACAGCGGTGCTGCTGCTGCGCTGCTGCTGCTGTTGCAGCAGCAGCAGCTGCTCTTTATACTGAAATAACTCTTTTTAATATAATATTAAATTAGAAATTAAACTTTAAGATGAAATATGGCTTATCTTTCCGCAGTTAAGGACAGGTCACTTTGGCTGCCGCCCCGGCGGTGCGCTCGCGTGCTGCAGCGGAGCAGCAGCAGCAGCAAAGCAGCAGCAGCGGCAGCAGCAAAGGCCAAACAAGGAATTAAATTAAAAAGCAATCTTTTTGAACTTAAAAAGAAACAAAATTTCAAACTCGAGCAGCAGCAGACGCAGCCAGCTGCCACAAAACCTCGATGAGGCCTCCCAGCAGCAGCAGGGTAACTTGGGGCCCCCGGGGGCCCCCGGGGGCCCCCGGAGCCCCCGGGGCCCCCCAGGGGGCCCCCCAGCAAGCCCTTGAGGGCATTTTGCTGCTAAGGGCCCCTTTCTGTGTTGCTGTTGAGTTGCATTTTAATTTAATTGCAGCAAAAGGTACTTTTGTAGCAGCAGAGAGGCCCAGCCGGGCTGCTGCTTCTGCAGGCTCGGGGGCCCCCCAAAACCCGCAGCGTTTGGGGCCCCGGGGGCCCCCCGAGCCCCCCTGGCCTTTGCTGCAGCAGCTGCTGCAGCTCTTCCTGCTGCAGTTGCTGCTAGCATTGCTTTGCTGCTGCAGCAGCTGCTGCAGCTCTTCCTGCTGCAGTTGCTGCCAGCATTGCTTTGCTGCTGCAGCCGCAGCGCGGCAAGGTGTACGTACACCTCCGCGCAGCAACTCATGGGGGCCCCCGGGGCCCCATTGACCCGGGGGGCCCCCGGGGCCCCCCTTTGGCTGCCAAGGGGGCCCCCCTGGGGAAGCTTGAGGGGGCCGGAGAGCTTTTGGGGCCCCCTAAAGGAGGGGGATGCATTGAGGACGCAGCAGAAGTGGCAGGAGGCGTTGAAGAGGTATGCTGCTGCTGCAGCAGCAGCAGCAGCAGCAAGAAGCAGCAAACTGCGCTCCACGGCCTTCTGCAGGTAAACTGGGGGCCCCTCTGCCTAAGTGCCTCATAAAGCAGCAAACGCTGCTGCTGCTGCTGGGGCCCCTAGACAGTGGCTTAACAAAGAATGCCTAGGGCCCCACCGGCACCAAACAGCAGCAGCAGCAGCAGCAGCAGCAGCAGCAGCAGCAGCAGGCTCGCATTTGGATGTGCCCTCTGTCTCTTTTTGCTGCAGGTTGGCAGTGGGGTGCTTGGACGCCTCCGGAGATTTCGAAGCAGCAGCAGCAGTGGCCCGTCAAGCAAGAGATGCAGCAGCAGCAGCAGCAGGAGGGAGAGCAGCAGCAGCAGCAGCAGCAGCAGCAGCAGCAGCAACAGCAACACAGGCCACCAGCTACGACCGCAGCAGTCAGCGCCGTCGCTGGCGCGCAGGGCCCCCGCAGCGGCCGTGGGCTCTATCGGCAGCAGCAACTGCTGCAGCAAGGGCAGCAGCAGCAGCAAGAGCAGCAGCAGCAAAAGCAGCAGCACCTGCTGCTGCTGCTGCTGCCAGCTCAGAAGGACCTCGCAGGTTGCTGCTGGCGGAGGCCCTCGGATTTGCTGCTAGGGCTCTGCGTCTGAGGCCCAACAGGTGGCTGCTGCTACTGCTGCTGCTGCTGCTGCTGCTGCTGCTGCCTCTCCTGTCTACTGCTGCCGCTACTTTTGTTGTTGTTGTTGTTGCTGCTGCTGCTGCTGCTGCTGCTGATACTCTTGCTTCCTTCTCTCCGCCGTTTGGTCCCAACTCTCGCCGCCGCAAGAGCTTTTGCTGCTGTGCCTTTGGCAAGATTACTGTGGTCCCTAGCTGCTGCTGCTGCTGCTGCTGCTGCTGCTGCTGCTGCTGCTGCTGCTGCTGTGAACATTGACGCAGCGTTTTGGGGCTGCATGCGGGGGCACAGGCAGCGCTGCTGCTGCAGCTGCCGCAGCTCGCAGTCAGCTTGGCGGTGCTGCAGCTGCGGCACTTGCGGCAGCCAGGGCTCTTCGCAGTTTGCCGCCAGACACAGCAGCAGCAGCAGCAGCAGCAGCAGCAGCAGCAGCAGCAGCAGCGGGAGCCCGGTTGCCCTGCTCCTCTACTGGAGTTGGGATCCATTGACAAGCAGGTTGCTGCAGCAGCCCTGCAGCAGCTCAAGTGGAGGTGGCGGCGGCGCCTGCCTGAATATTTGCTGCAGCTGAAACAGCAGCAGCAGCAGCAGCAGCAGCAGCAGCAGCAGCAAGGGCCAACAGCGCACTCTAGAGAGGACACTGCGCTGCTGCGGCAAGCTCTCGCTGCAGCAACTGCAGTCGCAGCCTCCCCCTTAGCATCAGTCATGGAGGGAGATGCAGCAGCAGCAGCAGCAGCAGCAGCAGCAGCAGCAGCAGCAGCAGCAGCAGCCAGAGGGCAACGAGAAACACCAACCAGCGTTCTCCGGCTGCTGGCGCTGCAGCAGCTGCTTCGCGCTGCTGCCAATAGCGGCCTGGCCTATGGAGTGGTCTCTGCAGGCCTGCGGCTTGAAGCTGCGCTGGTTATGTGCCCCAGCAGCAGCAACAGCAGCAGCAGCAGCAGCAGCAGCAGCAGCAGCAGCAGCAGCAGCAGAGGAAGTTTTCTGTCTCCTTGGTGGAGAGATACCGCCCTTGCTGAGACGCAGCTGCTCACTTGCAGCACTTTCTGCTGCTTAGCCACAGCAGCAGCAGGACAAAAGGCGTGGTTGCTGCAGGCAAGAGCAGCAGCTGCTGTTGCTGCTGCTGTTGCTGCTGCTGTTGTTGCTGCTCCTCGTTTCGGTGCTGCTGCTGGCGCATGCGTTGTCGCTGCTGCTGCTGCCACTGCTGCTCGAGCTTCCTTGCTGCTTCTTTGCTGCTGCAGGCCCTTGCTGCTGTTGAGGGGTTTTCTTGTCCTCACAGCGAAGCTCCACTGAGCAGCAGCAGCAGCAGCAGCATCAGCCGCAGCAGCAGCAGCGACACCAGCAGCAGCCGCAGCAGCAACACAAGCAGCAGCAGCAGCAGCAGCAGCACGACAAACAGTACCCCTTGCAGCGACTTGGGCGTTGCGCTGCAGCAGTACTTTGGAAAAGCCCTGGAGGCGGCCGAGAGACGACTTGCTGCTGCTGCAGCAGCAGCAGCTGCTGCTGCTGCTTCCTCTTGTGGCCCTGCGTCTCTTGCTGCTGCAGCAAACGCGTGGCGAGCTCGCTGCCTGTTAGCTCTTGGAGATTTCTCGAGAGTGCGTGTCGCGCCGTTGCTGTTGTTGCCATCGCTGCTGCTGCTGCTGCTGTTGCTGCTGCTGCTGCTGCTGCTGCTGCTGCTGCTGCTGCTGCTGGCCCTGAACCACTTTGGCGGGAGTAGTTCGTTCTTCAGGCACTGGAGGCCTCCACAGCGTCTGCGGAAGCTGACCTGTGGGCTGCTGCCGACGACGCTGCCCCCGCAGCAGCAGCAGCAGCAACAGCAGCAGCAGCAGCAACAGCAGCAGCAGCAGCAACAGCAGCAGCAGCAGCAAGTGAAAAAGGCGTGCGGGACTTCCACCTGCTAGAGTCTCTGCAAAAGAATACTCTTTGCCCTCTTGGTGAGAACTAAGCTGGGGCTCAATGGAAGCAGCAGCAGCAAAAGGAATCAAAGAGACACAGGAAGCAGCAGAGCTGCAGCAAACCAAAAAGGAGACACAGAAACAGCCAAAGAAGGGGAAGAACCGCAAAGAGACACAACTAGCAGCAGCAGCAGCAGCAGCAGCAGCAGCAGCAGCAGCAGCAGCAGCACTCTGCTGCGCGCAGCAGCAGCAGCAATGGCCGTCCGCGTGCCTCTCGTGTCTCTCGAGGCCCCTGCGTCTCCCCCGTGCTGCAGTGCTGCTGGCTGCTGCTGGCTGCTGCTGACTGCTTCTTGCTGCTGCTGACTGCTTCTTGCTGCTGCTGCTGCTTTGCTGCTGCTGCGCAGGACCCTTCAGCGCCTTGAGCCTCCGGGCTGCCTCTCTGTGGGGCCTCCGCCGCCCCACAGAAGCTGCTGCAGCACTTCGCCTCTGCGGCCAAGTCAACGGGGCTCTGCAGCAGGCCTTAGCTGACCCGCAGCAGCAGCAGCAGCAGCAGCAGCAGCAGCAGCAGCGGCAGCAGCAGGGGAAAGGTGAGCAGCCGCTGTGCTGCGGCAGCAACAGCAGTTCTAGTTGCCGACGATAAGGGCGGCACTGGAGCGGCGCGCTGGCGCTGAGGCACCGAACGAGGGTTTAAAGCTGCCCCGAGGGTTTAGGGTTTAGGGTTTAGGGTTTAGGGTTTAGGGTTTAGGGTTTGGTGCGCTGCAGGCGCGGAGCAGCAGAGCCGCTACCACCGCCGCACTGCTGCAGAAGCAAAACGCCTCAAAGCCCGCAAGGCGCTGCAGCGGGGGGCCCCCCCGGCCTTTTCTTTTCTTTAGTTGGGTTTTATTAAAAGGGCTGGGGGCCCCACAGCGAGGGGGCCCCCACTGGCTCTGTGGGGCCCCACACACGGGCTTGGGCTGCTCGTGCTGCAGCACAGCTGCTGCTGCTGCTGCAGCACAGCTGCTGCTGCTGCAGCAGAGCTGCTTCTGCTGCAGCACAGCTGCGTGGGCTGCAGCACAGCTGCTTGTGCTGCAGCACAGCTGCTTGTGCTGCAGCGCAGCTGCTTGTGCTGCAGCACAGCTGCTTGTGCTGCAGCACAGCTGCTTGTGCTGCAGCGCAGCTGCTTGTGCTGCAGCACAGCTGCTTGCGCTGCAGCACAGCTGCTTGCGCTGCAGCACAGCTGCCTGTGCTGCAGCACAGTCAGAGGCTGCTGCCCCAGCTGGAAGGGGGCTGTGGGTCTTGGGGGACCCCAGAACTATTAATTTAATTTTTTTTAAATTAAAAAAAGGATTTTTTCTTCATTTCTTTTTGCTGCTGTGCTGCTGCTTAACCCTTAGGGAGGCTCAAGGCCTCTGCTTCAAATGCCTGTTGGGGCTCCACAGCAGCAACCGCTTTGGGGTGCTAGAGGCGAGCCTGTTGCTGCAGCAGCAGCAGCAGCAGCAGCTGCTGCTGCTACTGCTGCTGCCCGGACAGCTGCTGTCTTGGCGGCTTCCAGTAGCTCCCCTGCTGCGGCTATTGTTAGCGCTGCAGTTATTGCTGCAGTTATTGGTCCCACAGCTGCAGCAGCAGCCACAGCTGCTGCTGCTGCAGTATTTCATAGGGGTGCAGCCAGTGGGCCAGACCACTGGTCCTACCTGCAGCCGCCGTTGCGTTGTGCCCCTTATTTTGTTTTTAATTTGATAAATATTTAAGAAAAACTGTAAAAGAAAAATAAGAGTTGAGGCGCAGAGCCCCCGTTCTATGGCTTAGGGCTTAGGGTTTAGGGTTTAGGGTTTAGGGTTTAGGGTGTTGAGGTGACCCCACCGCTCGCGGCCGGCCGCCTCTGCAGCTGCGCGCGGTGGAAAGTGCAAAAGAAACGCTAAAATGGTACTTTTTATATTATGAAATAAATGTCAACAAATTAAAACTCCGAAAGTTTCGTTTTGGCTTCGCCTTGTCTTGTTTTCTCTTCAGCGCAGAGCTCAGCTCTGGCGGGCGGCCGCCGCCCCCTCTGTTGCGCAAATTCCTTGAAATCAAAACAAAAGAAGTTTATTTATCTCAAATTAAATTAAATAAACAAATTAAATCAATTAATTGAATAAAGTTTTCCTCTTTTGTTCCCTCTACGCCCCGAGCCCCCAGGTGAGTGTGGTGCTCAGTTTGGCTCAACACCCACGGGCCCTGCAGTTCCATCACAGTGCAGCAGCAGCAGCAGCAGCAGCAGCAGCAGCGTACGCCGCAGCAGCGCGTGCTGCAGCAGCAGCAGCAGCAGCAGCAGCATGGGGAGCCCCCGTGAGATGGATCATGTGCCTGCGCCCGTGATCCTCCGCCTGCCCCCCGGGCCGCCCCCACCAACGCCCAGAAGGCCTCCGGGGGCCCCCCGGGGGCCCCTCGAGGGGGCCCCCCGGGGCCCCCCTGAGGGGGCCCCCAGGGGCCCCTATTCCTTTGGGGGCTCTGGGCCCTGTGTGCGGGGCAGCGCGGGGGAGTTCTTTGGGTCCTCGGGGGGCCCCCAGGGGTTGAACGTGGGGGGCCCCCCAGGGGGCCCCCCAGGGGGCCCCCCAGGGGGCCCCCCGGGGGGCCCCCCCCGTCGTTCGGGCTTCAGTGATAGGCCATCGGGGGGCCCCCTGATCCTCCCGCGGCCGCACTTCAGGGCAGCGGGAGAGGGGGGCCCCCCCCCTGCGCCGGACCGTGAGGGGCCCCGCTTCAGTACCCATCCTTATTACAGGAAGCCCGCAGGAGAACCAAAGGAGGGGCCCCACGGGGGCCCCCCGGGGGGCCCCTACGGGGGCTTTGTAGGGGGCCTCAGCAGAAACAGTTCTCCCGCGGCCTTCCTGAGAGGCCCTGGGGGCCCTGCAGACTCTGGGGGCCCCCGGGGCCCCGGGGGCCCCGGGGGCCCCGGGGGCCCCCGTCTTTGGCCCTCAGAGGGTAGTGAGGGGGCACTACACTCCTACCGTGAGGGGCCCCCCCCATGGGGCCCCTGGGGGCCCCCAGGGGGGGGCCCCCCGAGGCCCCGGGGGCCCTGCTATGGAGCAGAACAAGACCCAGTTCGGCAGTCTAGGGGCCCCCGGCAGCCCCGGGCCCCCCCTGGGTGGCCTCCTGAGTGGACAGAGAGGGCTGGGGGCCCCCCGGGGCCCCCGGGGCCCCCAGGGGGCCCCCACCTTCGCCCCCGCCGCAGGACTTCTCCCCCAGCCCCAGCAGGGGGCCCCCTGAGGGGGCCCCTCGGCTGGCCTCGAGAGAAAGCCCAAGACCCTATTCTTCTCCGAGGAGGGGCCCCCGGCATTTGCCCCACAGGGCGGGGGCCCTGGGCTTCTCAGGGGGCCCCCCGCCCCGCGTTGCTTACCCCCGCTGCAGCAGCAGCAGGAGCCGCAGCAGCAGCAAAAGCACCATCAGCTGCAGCAGCAGAACAGACCTTCCGCCTTGGCCGCAGCCGCTGCTGCAGCACTTCGAGGACCCTGAGTTCCAAGAAGGGGGGCCCCGCTTCGGGGGCCCCTCCCCTTTCAGGGGGCCCCCCAGAGGGCACAGGTACCCTGTTCCTAGACCCCCCCCGGGGGGCCCCCCGAGGGGCCCCCCCCCTCCCCCGGAGGACCGGGGGGCCCCCTGGGGCCCCCCGGGGGCCCCCCACAGGGCTTGGGGAGATGGCAGGGTGACCAGTGGTCAGGGCTGGTCCTGCAGCGCCCCCGCTGCTGCTGCTTCGCACCCTCCACGCAGCAGCAGCAGCAGCAGCAGCAGCAGCAGCAATAGCTCTCGGCAAAACGCGGCCGTTAAGACATACGGCAAGCGTGAGAACAGCAGCAACTTCAGCAGCAGCAGCAGCAGCAGCAGCAGCTACGGGCTGAAGCGGCTGCACTGCACAAGCTACCCATCGCCTCCCCCAGAGCCCCCCCAGTATGCTGCAGCAGTGACAGCAGCAGCAGCAGCTGCTGCTGCTGCTGCACTTGCAAGAAAGGCTCGAGCAGCACAGCAAGAAGCAGAGGCAGACAACTGCCGCCAGCAGCAGCAGCAACAGCAACTGCTGCTGCAGCAGCATCTCCAGCAGCAGCTGCGAGAGCAGCAGCTGCGAGAGCAGCAGCTGCGACAGCAGCAGGACAACAGGGAAAGGCAGCAGCAGCTGCTGCAACAGGAGCAGCAGCTGCATCAGCAGCGTCAGGACGAGAATCAAAAAGAACACAGGCTGCAGCAGCAACTCAAAGAAGAGCAGCTGCAGCAGCAGAAACTGCAGGAGCTGCATCAGCAAAAGCTGCAGCGAGAAAAAGAGCAGCGGCAGCAGCAGCAGCAGCGGCAGCAGCAGCAGCTGGAACTGGAGCTACAGCTAGAAAAGAAGCTACAAGCTCTACAGGAGCAGCAGCTGCAGCAGATGCGGCAGCAGCAGCAGCAGCACGAAGAGCATCAGCAGCAACAGGAGAGGCAGCAGCAAACTCTACACGAGCAGCTGACGGAAGAGCAGCAGCAAAAAGAGAACGTGCAACAGCAGCAGCAGCAGCTGCAACAGCAACGGCAGCAGCAGTTAAAGCATCAACAGGAAAAGCAGCAACAAAAGGAGCAGCAGCAAGAACTGGAGGAGAAGCAGAAGCAGCAGAAGGAACAATTATTGAAGCAGAAGCAGCAGCAGCAGGAGCAGCAGCAAAAGCAACAAATGAAAGAGCAACAGCAACAGCAACTGGAGAAGCAGCAACGGCTGCAGCAACAAAAACAGCTGGAGCAGCAACAGCAGCAGCAAAAACAAACACTGGAGCAACAGGAACAGATGCGACAGGAACAGCAGCAAATGCAACAACAGGAGCAGCGGCAGCAGCAGCAACAGCAGCAGCAGCAGCCGCAGCAGCAGCCGCAGGAGCAGCCGCAGGAGCAGCAGAAAGAGCAGCAAGAAAAAGTCAATGTGAAGCTGTGCAAGAGTGAGCAGCTGGAGACCCGCCAGAAACAGCAGCAAGAAGTGCAGCAGCAGCAGCAGCAGCCGGCCCAACTGCAGCAGGAAAAAGTGCAGCAGGCGCAGCTGCAACAGCAGCTGCTGCAGCTGCCGCAAATAAACGAGCAGCACAAAAGTGCTGGGGAAACTCTGGAGAAAGAACACCGAGAAAATGTACAGCAGCAACAGCAGCAGCAACAGCAGCAGCAACACCAGCAGCAGCCGCAGCAAGACCCACAACAGCAGTGCCCAGAACAGCTGCAGCAGCAGCAACGCGAGACGCAACAGCAGCAACAGCAGCAGCAGCAGCAACAGCAGCAGGAGCATGCACGCAGCAGCACTTCTGCAGAAGCTCCCCAGACGCCGAAATGCCCTACACAAGAAAAAGCGGGAGACTCTGCCGCGCAGCAGCAGCAGCAGCAGCAGCAGCAGCACAGCAGCAGCAGCAACAGCAGCAGTAAGAACGCTAAGCGGGTAAATACTCCTGCGGATGCAGTGAATGGCGAATGTGCGAGAAAACAAAAGCAGCAGCAGCCAGCCCAGCAGCAGCAGCAGCAGCAGCAGCTCGTGCAAGAGAAGCAGCAGCAAGAGCAGCAGCAGCAGCTGCGTCGGCCACAACAGCAAGAGCAGCAGCAGCAGCAACAAAAGCAACCGGGACAGCAGCAAGAGACACAGGAGAAACTGCAAACAAAAGATTCACAGCAAAAATTGCAAGACCATCAGGAGCAGCAGCAGCAGAAGCCTCTTGTTCAGCAGCAGCAGCAGCAGCACGAGCAGCAGAAGCAGAAGCAGCAGGATCAAGAGCAACAAAAGCAGAAGTCGCAGGAGCAGCAGGTGCAGCAGAAACTTCCAGAACAAAAGCAGCAGCAAAAGGTGCAAGAGCAGCAGCAGACGGAGAAGCCACAAGAACAGAAGGAGCAAGAACAGCAGCCGCAAAAACTGCAGCAGGAGAAGGAGCAGCAGCAGCAGCAGCAGCAGCAGCAACCGTGGTCGCAGAAGGTCTTGCCTGAGCAGCAATGGCAGCAGCAATTCAAGCAGAAGATGATGCAGCAGCAGCAGCGACAGCAACAACGCCGCGCCAAGGAGCCAACACAGCGGAAGCTACAGCGGCAGCAGCAGCAGCAGCAGCAGCAAAAGCAGCAGCAAAGAAAAAAGCGACTGCAGCAGCCCCAGCAGCAGGAGCACACGCAGCTGCAGCAGCCGCTGCAGACTCTGCAGCTGCAGGGAGCAACAGAAGGGCTCTGCGAAACACCAGGCGGGAGTATAGTGGGCCTGCAGCAGCAGCAGCAGCAGCAGCAGCAGCAGCAGCAGCAGTTTAGGCTGCCTCAGGAGCGTCAGGTGCACGAGGCACTGCAGCAACCGCCCAGGCAGCAGCTGCAGCAAGACAAGCATATGCTGGGACAGCAGCAGCAGCTGCTGCAGCAAAGCAAGCAGCAGCAGCAGCAGGCGCACGTCCAGGCCATTCATGGAAGCCTGGCTGAGAGCGGCGCAGCAAGAAATTCCGCTGCTCCTGCTGCTGCTGCTGCTGGCCCTGCTGCTGCTGCTGCTGCTGCTGCTCTCTACGGCCACTCAGCACAGCCAGCGACCGTTTCTTATGAATGCTGCAACCATTTGTTTCTTCCTGCTGCACAGGCATCTGCTGCTGTTCCTGTGTACCAATACGAAGCAGCAGCAGCACAGCCAGCAGCAGCAGCAGCAAGAACCGCACTTGCTGCTGCCGCTGCTGCTTCTGCCAGTCGTTGCAGCCAGCAGCAGCAGCTACAGGACCAGCAGCAGCAACGCCACCAGCCACAGGCGCAGCAGCAGCAGCAGCCAGCTCCACAGTTCGTTTGCTCAGCGACTCCACAGCAGCAACATGAGCAGCAGCAGCAAGTCCAGCAGCAGCCGGGAGCACAGCAGCAGCAGTTGCTGCTGCAGCTGCACCAACAACAGCTGCAGCAACAGCAGCTGCAGCAGCAACTGCAGCAGCAGCAGCTGCAGCAGCAGCAGCTGCAGCAGCAGCAGCAGCATTTACTTTGCAATGGGCCAGCGCTAGGGAGGCAGCAAGGAGGAACAGAAACCCTTTTTAGTTCCCCCAGGCATTCTGAGATGGCAGCAGACGAGGCTGGTGTCTTGGGCTCCTCGGGAGTTCCTGCTGCCTTTGCAGCAGCAGCAGCAGCTGCTGCTGCTGCTGCTGCTGCTGCTGCTGCAGCACATGTGGGTGCAGTGAGCGCCAGAGGGCCTTCAGAACAAAGGGAGGACGGACTGTGCAGCACGCGGGGGGCCTCCATGGAGCAGCAGAAACAGTTTTTGCTGCAGCAGCAGCAGCGGCAGCAGCAGCAGGCGCAGCTGCAGCAGCTGCAGCAGCTGCAGCGGGAGCAGCAGCAGGGCCACCAACAGGTGCTGCAGGCTGCCATGGATCGGCTGGAGCTGCTCAGAAAAGAAGAAAAGAGAGACAGCAAGCTGCTGCGTCTAGATGCTTCGAAGCAGCTGCAGCAGCAGCAGCGTGTGCTGCTGCTGCTGCAGCAGCGAGCAAGGCGCATGCAGAAGGAGCGCCAGGCGCTCATGCTGCAGCTGCAGCACCACCTAAACTGCTACCAGCTGCAGCGGCAGCAGCTGCAGCAGCTGCAGCAGCAGTATTTGCTGCAGGAACAGGCACAGCAGCAGCTTCAGCAGCAAAGCAAGCTGCAGCAGCAGCAAAACGCTCATCCCAACCTGGAAGCGGTGTGGCAGCAGCAGCAGCAGCAGCCACTAGACAGGCTGAAGCACTCGCAGCAGCAGCGGCAGCTGCTGCAACGGCATCGCGAGCAGCAGCAGCAGCAGCAGCAGCAAACCCTCCACAACCCCTAGGGCCCTTTTCACAGTCACCGCCAAGGCGCCTGATGGGGCCCCCGGGCAGCTTGTCAGGGGCCCCTTGGGGGCCCCCAGGGGGCCCCTTGGGGGGCCCCAAGGGGCCCCTCGAGGGCCCCCAAAGGCCCCTTTGAGGCCTTTCAGGGGCCCCTTTAATTACTCCAAGGGGCCCCTTTTGAAGGTCTCCAGAAGCCACTTTGGGGGCCCCTAGGGGGCCCCCAGGGGGCCCCCCTGAGGGCATCCAGGGGGCCCCCCTGAGGGCCCCCAGAAACCCCTTTTAGGGCCCCCAGGGGTATCCTTGAGGGGCCCCAGTTTGGGGGCCCCCAGCGGGCCCCCATAATCCCCTTTGGGGGCCCCCAGGGGGCCCCCAGAAGCCCCTTTGGGGGCCCCTAGAAGCCCCTTTGGGGGCCCCCAGGGGCCCCTTGCTGCCTTAGGGCAGTTCATATCTTTTGGCATTTCTTTCTTCCCAGTAACAACCAGACTGCTAGTCCCTATACCTCAAACCCTAAACCCTAAACCCTAGACCCTATACAGCTAAACCCTAAACCCTAGACCCTAGACCCTAAACTCTCTACTGCAGACCTGTAATTCAGCCCCTAAACCCTAAACCCTAAACCCTGAACTCTTGGCAGCAGACTTGTACACCAGCGTCTGAGCCCTAAACCCTAAACCCTAAACCCCGAATTCTTGACCATAGAGTTACACTCCAGCCCCTAAACCCTAAACCCTAAACCCTCGGCACAGAAGGCCCTCAGACTTTCCCTTGTTGAAGCTCCGGCCCATCCTTTGCCTGTTGGCAGCAGTGCATGCATGCAGTTGCAGTGCATGCATGCATTTACTGTGCATGCATTTGCTACGCATGCATGCAGGTATAATGCATGCATGCAGGTATAATGCATGCATGCAGCTATAGCGCATGCATGCAATTGCAGTGCATGCATGCATGCATGCATGCGTAGTAAACGTATGCAGTCGTGACCACACTGCAAAGGCGCTGCTGGCTGCATGCAAACTGCTGCCTTCCTGCATGCATGCATGCATGCATTCATGCATGCATGCATGCATGCATGCATGCATGCATGTTTTGCTGCGCTGCTGCCTGTTTGCATGCACGCATGCATGCAGGCAGCAAACGCAGAGAATCCGAATGCAGCCGAGAAAGAATAGGAGCGTCTATCGAGGAGTGCCTGCTGCAGCTGCTGCTCGTCACGCTGCTGCTGCCGCTGCTGCTCCTGTTGCTGCTGCTGCTCTTCCCGCTGCTGCTGCTCGCGCTGCTGCCCCCGTTCCTGCCTCTAGCCCTGCTCCTGCCTCTGCTGCTGCTAAGCTGCTGCAGCAGCAGCTGCTGCTGCTCCTCCCCCGCCGCGCCGCCGCCTCCTTCGCCGCCCCCGCTGCCGCTGCTGCCGCTGCTGCTGCTGCTGCTGCTGCTGCTGCTGCTGCTGCTGCAGTCAGACGCCCTTGGGGAAGACGGGGGGAGTGGGGTCGGTGCCCCCGATCTGGGCGCGGCCGTGGGGCCGCGGGAAAGCGCTGCGGACTTTGGAAAGCCGGGGGGGCCCCTGGAGGCCCTGGGGGCCCCCCTTGAAGGAGTTGGGGTTTTTGTTGAAGTACCCAAAGCCCGTTTTGTTGGGGGAGAGGCAGCAAAAGGGGTTGCTGCTGCGCTGCACTGGCCGCAGCAGCGGCAGCGCAGTCGCCAGGTAAAACCGCCCGCTGCCAGCAGCAGCAGCAGCAGCAGCAGCAGCACTCACCCACTTGCTGCTGCTCCCCGTCAGCAGCACGTCGTGCAGGTACTGCAGCTTTTCGCTCTCTGACACCCGCACAACACACACACACTTACTAGCTAGCTAGCTAGCTAGCTAGCTAGCTGGCTAGCTAGCTAGCTAGCTGGCTAGCTGGCTAGCTAGCTGGCTAGCTAGCTGGCTAGCTAGCTAGCTGGCCAGCTAGCTGGCTAGCCAGCTAGCTAGCTGGCCAGCTAGCTGGCTAGCTAGCTGCATCGCTGGATAGCAAGTTAGTTAGCTGGCTGGATGACTGCATAGGTGGACTGCTAATTAGCTAGCTAGCTAGCTGGATTGCTGGACAGCTAGCTACGCGCTTTGCCCGCCAGATCGCTAGCTAGCTAGCTAGTTGGTGCGCGGCTGACTAGCTAGCTAGCCAGTTGGCGGGTCGTGAGTTGCTAGCTAGAAGCCCCAAACTAAACCCCCAAACCAGAGGGCCCCCAAACTAGGGGGCCCCCCAACTTGAGGGGCCCCTAGCTTGGGGCCCCCAAACTAGGGGGCCCCCCAACTTGAGGGGGCCCCTAGCTTGGGGGCCCCCAAACTAGGGGGCCCCCAAAGTAGGGGGCCCCTAGCTTGGGGGCCCCCAAACTAGGGGGCCCCCAAAGTAGGGGGCCCCCCTGGCAGGGGCCCCAGGGGGGGGGGTGCTTGCCTTGCTGGTGGCGCATGAGGGCCTTGACTGCGAGGGGCCCGATGTGTCTGTTATAATGCCATTCGAAGATTTCCCATTTGAGTTCTTTCATGAAAGGACTGAAGCCACTCAAGGCCAGGGGCACTCGCGTCTTCACGCGCTGGCCCTCCCTGCGGAAGCGGAACGCCATCGCAGCTAGCTAGCTAGCTGGCTAGCTGGCTAGCTGGCTCGCTGGCTGGCTGGCTAGCTGGCTAGCTAGCTGGCTAGCTGCCTCTACAGCTAGCTGGATGGCTAGCTGGATGGCTAGCTGGAGGGCTGGTTGGATGGCCAGCTGGCTAGCTAGCTGGCTGGCTAGCTGGCTAGCTAGCTGGCGTTGCAGGCAGTCCGAAGGGGCCCCGAAAACCCCTGGCGAGGCCCTGAGAAACAACAGGTAGCCAGCTGCTGCCGGCAGCAGCAGAAAGCTGCAGCTAAAGCTGCGCCCGAGGGTCTGGGGGGCCCCTGGGGCCCTCGCTAGCCGCGTGGGGGGCCCCCGAGCTGTAGGGGGAGGCGCGGGGGCCCCCAGGGGCCCCCACGAAGAGCAGAAGGGAGCTGGGGGGCCCCAAGGTTGAGGCCCTCGGCGCCAGTGGGGGGCCCCCCGGGCTTTAAAGGATAAAAAGAAAGAAAAGTTAAATAATAATTTAATTGTTTTTATTCTATTTTCTAAAGTGGGAAAGAAACGGCTGCGAATCGCGAGGCTGCTGCTGCACACGGAGTGCATGCAGCCCCAGAACCGGCAGCCCCAAGAGCGCATGCAGAGCCTCTCTGGGGCTTTTATTCTTTAAAATTAAATAAAATATATTTAAAGATAAAAGTATAGTCTTTACGGATGCGTCTTAGAGGCTGGATAGCCACAGATCCACCACGCTGCTGCTGCAGCAGCAGTGTCTTTCCGTTTGGTCTGTGCCTCTGTTTTGCTGCTGCTTCTGCAGCAGCTGCTGCTTCTTAATAAATGCTTTTAATTAAATACTTTTAAATAAATACTCTTTAACATTTAAATATATTTCTCTCCTTTGCTGCAGTTGCTGCAGTGCCACATCTAAATCCTTTTTCCCAATAGCTCGGGGCCCCTGAGGCTCTCTGCTGCTGCTGCGCATTTAAACTTAAAAGCCCAAGTTGACTAGGGGCCCCTATGGGGGCCCCCGGGGGCCCCTGTGGGGCCCCTGGGGGCCCCCACAGGGGCCTCTGTGGGGCCCCCAAGTGCCCCAGTGGGGCCCCCTGTGGGGCCCTCTGTGGGGCCCCTGTGGGGCCCCTACGCAGGCCTATAGGGTACCCAGTCAATGCCTCAAAACACGTCCCAACAACAGCGCCTTGGGGCCCCCGGGGGCCCCCCCGGGGGGCCCCCAGGGGCCCCTGGGGGGGCCCCGGGGGCCCCCAGGGGCCCCCCGGGGGCTCCAACCCTAAAAGGGGCCCAAAAAGGGCCCCTTTGAGGGCCTCAGGAGGCCCTAAAGGGCACCAAAAGGGGCCTCGAGGGGCCCCTATTGGGGCCCCCCTTGGGTCCCCCAATGGGGGCCCCCTTGGGGGACCCAATGGGGGCCCCCTTGGGGGCCCCAATAGGGGCCCCCCTTGGGGGCCCCAATAGGGGCCCCTAGGCGCGCCTTATAAGTTATGTAGGCTGAATACCAAGGCGCAACTTTAGGGGGCCCTAAACCCTAAACCCTTAACCCTAAACCCTAAACCCTAAACCGTAGGCACTGAAGCTTCTGCTGCTAGCCCCTGCGGCGGTGGGGGCCCTGTGGTCTGCTGCTGCCGCTGCTTCTGGCAGCAGCAGCTGCTGCAGCAGGAGCAGCAGCAGCAGGCGGCGGCTCCTCTTCTGCTGCTAAGCCCCGGGACAGCAGCTGCACCACGAGGATCACAGGCAGCACCCACCAGTAGGTCTGCAGCAGCGAAGGCTGCTGCTGCTGCTGCTGCTGCTGCTGCTGCTGCTGCGCTGCTGGCTGCGGGTAAGCAGAAGCTGGCAGCAGCACAGCAGCTTGCGGCTCCCTGGGAGAGACAGACAGCAGCAGCGCGGGTTTTGCGGGGGAGCAGAACGCGCGCCGCAGCGGCTGCTGCTGCTGCTGCTTCTGCTGCTGCTGCTGCTGCTGCTGCTGCTGCTGCTGCACCTCAGTTGCTGCTGCTGCTCCAAGCACAGCAATGCCCACAGGCTGCAGCGACGAGTTGCCCAGGTGCAGCTCGAGAGTGAAAGGGTGGGATGAGTCTGCACACCGCAGCACGCCAAGCTGCTGCTGCTGCTGCTGCTGCTGCTGCTGCTGCTGCTGCTGCTGCTGCTGCTGCTGCTGCTCCTGCAGCACCGACAGTGGGGTTGTTGTTATAACAGCTGGGGCCCCCTCGCCCCCCTCTGCCTTCAGGGACAAAGCGGGGAAAATAGTCTCCTGTTCGTGGACGCCGAATTGCTGCTGCTCCTGCAGCAGCAGCTGCTGCTGCTGCTGCGCTTGCTGCACTGCAGCATCAAGGGCCTCGCCGCGGTACGACAGCCACTCAGCAGCAGGCCCTGCTGCTGTTGCGCTGCTGATGTTGACTGACCCGAGAGGCAGCCACTCGATATTGCTGCTGCTGCTGCTGCTGCTGCTGCTGCTGCTGCTAGATCCCCAAGGGTTGACAATACGAAAAGAGATCTGCAGGGGGACACCGGCGTGAGAAGGGGATATTGAGGACTGCAGCAGCAGCAGCAGCAGCAGCAGCAGCAGCAACGGCGGCAGCAAGAGCCGCCCACCTCGCCCACGCTGCGCCATGGATCCTCGACTGCTGCTGCTGCTGCTGCCTCTGCTGCTGCTGCTGCCACTACTGCTGCAGCTGCTGCTGCTGCCGCTACTGCTGCAGCTGCTGCTGTGCAGCTGCGGCCAGTGTCTCGCTGCTGTGCTTCTCCGGGCAGCACCAGCCCCAAGAGTGTGAGTTGCTGCAGCAGCAACTGCTGCTACCAAGCTGCTGCTGCTGTTTCCTAGGGAAACAAATTGATAAATAATGGGCAGAATGAATTAGCTGAAAGCCTCAGCAGCAGCAGCACGAGCCGCAGCTGCTGCTGCCGGTTCTGCTGCTGCTGCTGGGGGTCCTGGGGCCCCAACACTGGGGGGCCTCTGCAGCAGCAGCAGCAGCAAAATGAACAGCAGCAGCGCCAAATAATTCGCAAAAAAGAAGTTTTATAATTTTAAAATAAAAGTTAGCTGCTGCTGCAGCAGCTAAGAAGAGCTGTAAGGCTCCATGGCTTTGAGGCTTTGAGGAGGAGCCTCATGCTGTTCCTGTTGCTGCTGCTGCTGCTGCTGCTGCGATCTGCTGCTGCTGCTGCTGCTACCGCCTGCCTTTCGCCGCTGTTGTTGTTGCCTGCTTACCCTGTGGCTGCTGCTTGTTTCGTGTTGCTGCTGGTGTTGCTGCTGGTGTTGCTGCTGCAGCTGCTGCTGTTGCTGCTGCTGCTGCAGACCAGCACACCGCTGGCGTGTCTGGGCAGCAAACCAGAACTGGGGTGTACGTACACCTCATTTCCTCACCAAATTAGGCCCCTTTAGATCTCTGGCTAGCCACATTTAATTAGCTGCTGCTGCCGTAGCTAGCTGCTGCTGGTCTAATTGGCTGCTGCTGCTGTAGCTTGTAGCTAGCTGCTGCTGGTTTAATTGGCTGCTGCTGCTGTACTTAGCTGCTGCTGGCGTGGCTAGCTGCTAACCACGCCTAGCAGCTAGCTGCAGGTGTTGCTGCGCCTAGCAGCAGCCGCGCTGCAGCGCACTGCTGCTGCCTGCGGCAGTGGGCTTGAGCCGCCGCTGCTGCAGCAGCAGCAGCAGATGCTGCTGCTGCTGCAGTAGCTGCTGCTGCTGTGCCACTACACAAGTGGCAAACTATAACAGCAAATCCCACCTGTGCGCACTGGGGCCCCCGTGGGTGTGCACCCCTGCTTGCTACCGCCGCTCTGCTGCTGCTGTTGCTGCTGCTGCTGCTGCTGCTGCTGCTGCCGGCTCTGCTGCTGTTGCTGTTGCTGCTGCTGCACGAAGGCTGGAGAGCCGGCCCCTAGTTGGTGGGATTGTTACTACACAGAAGACAAGAGACATGAGATGAGGCGGCGGAGCTGCTGCAGCTAGCCAACTAGCTGGCTAGCTAGCTAGCTAGCTAGCTAGCTAGCTAGCTGAGTTTAAGCCAAGGAGTACTTAAAGTCCTGCTCATATAAACTAGCATCCCGCCAGCTGAGCAGCTAGCTGGCCAATCAGCAGCTGGCTAGCCAATTTAGTTGGCTAGCTAGCCAGCTAGCTAGCCAACTCTCTACGGTGCCGGCCACCCAGTTAGCTGGCAAGCTGGCCAAACATCTAGCTAGCTAGCTAGCTAGCCAGCTAGCCACCAGGCCTGCTAGCAGGCTGGCTAGCCAGCTAGCTAGCCAGCCTAGCCACTGGCCAGCAGCAACTAAGAAGACGGCTCCAGCCAGCCCACTGAGGTGCATCAGGCCGTAGCCAGCTGCAGCAGCCAGCCATAGCTAGCTAGCTAGCTAGCTAGCTAGCTAGCTAGCCAGCCCTAGCTGCAGCAGCTAGCTAGGGCCAGCTAGCTAGCAAGAGCTAGCTAGCTGGCCCAGCTAGTTCTAGCTAGCTGCCCAAGCGCCCCTGGCTAGCTGCTCCAGAGGCCCTGGCTAGCTAGCGAAGAGGCCCCAGGAAGCCACCAAAAAGTTTTCAATAGCTAGCTACGCGGGATCCAGCTGACTAGCCAGAAAGCTCTAGCTAGCTAGCCACTGGACCCAGGCTAGCTAGCCAGCGTTCGCTGGCTAGCTAGCCAGCTAGCTAGCTGGCTAGCTAGCTAGCTAGCTGGCCAGCTAGCTAGCCATAGAGGCTGCGCTAGCTCGTAGGCCGCTTTCGCAAAAGCTCTTCTATTTTGCGGGCCTCCTGCAGGAAGTGGCGCAGCACAGGAACATTTGCTGTGACTAGACGAGGGCCCAGCAGCAGCAGCAGCAGCAGCAGCAGCAGCAGCAGCAGCAGCAGTAACTCACCGCTTTTGGACTGATGCGTTGCAGCAGCAGCAGCATCTCTGCCCTGTCTGCCTCTTCTGTGAGATCCTCTCCCAAGGTGAGGCAGCTGCTGAGCAGTAGAGACAGTCCATTCTTTTGCTGCTGCTGCTGCTGCTGCTGCTGCTGTGGCTGTTGCTGCTGCTGCTCCTGCTGCTGCTGCAGCACCAGCAGCCACTTGAGAGGCAGCAAACGCACAAACCCGTGAAGCACCAGCAAACCTGTCCGACGCGGCAGCAGCGGCAGCAAGGGCTGAACGCGCAGCTCGAAGAGGTGCTGCAGCAAAAGCAGCAGCAACAGCAGCAGCAGCAACAGCAGCAGCAGCACAGGCGGTTGAAGACGCCGCAGCAAGCCGCAGTGCACTACACAGCAGCCCTAATTTCCAGGAAACTCGAAGCAAGAGTGCAGCATATGTCCTACCAGCAGCAACAGCAGCAGCAACAGCAAAAGAAGCAGCAGCAGCAGCAGCAGCAGCAGCACTGACATGCATGACTATGTGCAGCATAAGCTGCTCGCTGAGAATGCCTTCAAAAAAGGAAGCAACTCCAACAGCCTTGAGCGCGCGGTGTACGTACACCTCAACAGCAGCAGCGTCGGCCTCCTGCTGCTGCTGCTCTCCTTCTGCCTTCGCCGTCTGCTGCTGCTGCTGCTGCTGCTGCTGCCGCTGCTGCTGCAGCTGCTGCGCACGCTTCACGCACTGCACAGGCAGCTGACTCTCAATAGTGCTGAGGAAAGAAGAGACAAAGAGCTGCAGCAGCTTCGTAATGGCTGCCTCTGTTGGGGGGGCCCTGAACAGCAGCATTTCCTGCAGCAGCTCAGCAGCAGCAGCAGCAGAAGTGAAGCTGCAGCAGTCCATTTGCTGCAGCGAGTGCAGCGCCCTGGGCAGCACGACATCCTTCACCACCTGCAGCAGCAGGTCCGCAAAAGCCGCTGCAACCTCGCTGATGCTGCCGCTGCTGCTGCCGCTGCTGCTGCTGCTGCTGCTGCTGCTGCTGCTGCTGCTGCTGCTGCTGCTGCTGAGGGTCTCCATTTCTTGACAAAAAGCAAAAATGTCTCTTATGAAATCAAAATCTGCCACTTCTCTTCCCCCCCGCAAAATTCGTCCGCTGACGACGCTGCCGTCCCGGAGGGGCCCCGTGCCGCTGTCGAGGGCCCCTGCTGCTGCTGCTGCTGCAGCAGCAGCAGCAGCAGCAGCAGCAGCAGCAGAGCGGCTTTCAGCTGCTGCGCCAGCGTCGCCCGCGGGAGGCTTTTCGGCGTCGTCAGCTGCGCTGCTGCTGCTGCTGTCGCCCGCCTCTTCCTGCTGCTGCTGCTCCTCCTGCTCCTGCTGCAGCACCTGCTGCTGCTTGACCCACTCAAGTGCAGCAGCAGCAGCAGCAGCAGTCGACGGAGCCAACGTTGTGTCCAGCGGCTGCCACCACAGCAGCTCCCAAGAAGCAACAGTCTCTACACTTTGCTGCAGCTGCTCAGCCAGTGGCAGCTGCTGCTGCAGCGCCACCATGTCCTCGGGGCAGTTCCGGCATGCTGCAGCAAACTCCCCCACTATGCGACGCACCTGCAGCAGCAGCAGCAGCAGCAGCAGCAGCAGCAGCAGCAGCAGCGCAGGATCTTTTGGGGAGGCCCTACATGGCGAATGGACACTTGGTGGTTTCTGCTGCTGCTGCTCTTGACTGAGTCAAGCAGCAGCAGCAGGAAGAGCAGGCAGCAACAGCAGCATCAGCAGTAGTGAGCATGCAGCCACGCAGCAGCAGCCGCAGCAGCTGCTGCATCAGCAGCACGGAGCATGCAGCCATACAGCAGCAGCAGCAGCAGCAGCAGCAACAGCGGTAGCAGCAGCAGCAGCAGCAGTGAGTGTGTAGCCATACAGCAGCAGCAGCAGCAGTGTGCAGTCCTGCAGCAGCAGCAGCAGCAGCAGCCCGGGAAAAGAGGAACAGCAGCAGGACCACGAGGAGACGCAAAAGACACAAGAGAGAAAAAGAAGCAAAAACAATTAAAGAAAAAAGAAAATAAAAATAAATAAAAATAAAAATAAATAAATAAATAAATAAAAAGAAAAAAGAAATGCTGCAGCAGCTCCTCACCTCTCTGTACTCCGGCCTCACGTCAGCAAATATTTCAGCAACAGCCTGCAGGAACTGCCTCTTGGTTTTGTGTCTTCTTGAGCTGCTGCTGCTGCTGCTGCTGCCGTTGCTGCTGCTGCTGCTGCTGCTGCTGCTGCTGCTGCTGCTGCTGCTGCTGGGGCCTTCTTCGTCGCTTGTGAAGACACAAGAGCCCAAAACGTCCCCCCAGCACTCGCAGCGCCCCAGTGCTGCAGGCTCGAGCTCCTCTGCTGCTGCTGCTGCTGCTGTTGCTGCTGCTGCTGCTGCTGTTGCTGCTGCTGCTGCTGCTGCTGCTGCTGCTGCGCGTGCTGCTCTGAAAGCCTCTACGGCCTC